CGGGGGGGCCGGGCAGGGCGGCGCGGGGGGACGCGCCAGCGCGACGGTGACGCACGTGGGGCCCGGCGCGCGGGTGCGCTGCGCCACCAGGCCCCCGAACGCGCGTCCGGCAGCAACGCCCGATTCCACGCTCCCCAGCCGCCGGCAGCTTTCCCTTCGGTAAAAAACCCGCGCCTGGTTTACGTGCAGGGGCAGACGTCAGCGCTGCAGCGCGCCGGCTCCTTCTGCTCTGCTGGGAGCCAACACAGCGCTTGAGTATTTTTTCAAGCAGGTTTGTTTGCTTGCAGCTCCGTGCAGGGTTTTGCAGTGAAGAACAAGGCACAGCGGCTTGCTTGGGACAGGCGCTACGGGGGTAATCTCCAAGCAGGGCACGTTCACCTCCTGCCTGGCTTGGAGGTATTGACGTGACTTAGAGTCTTCTCTGCTATGTTTCAAAATTAATACAAATGACGTTGCTAAGAAATGCTCCTCTGCTCTCCTTCTGCGCTGCAAATGCCTGTTCTAGCACCGGCCCCCGGCCCTGCCCGCGCTCGGCGCTTACTGCCGGCAGCCCCCGAGCAGCAAACCCAACGTTTAGAGCTGGCAAATGTTTCTTTAAGAACCTGAAACTATTTCAGGAATTTTATCCTGCCCCTTCTTTCACACGTCAGTACGAGGGGGTACCACATTCTCATTTTCTTTTCAGCCAGTTCAGTTTGGGTAGAGATTGAGAGTCCTCTGCTACGGTCCTTGTTCTCTGATAAGGCCTGGTCTGAAGGAAAACACCCCTTCCGGGGGGCTCGGGGCTGTGCGCGACGCTACTGCGCCAGTGCAGACTGCATCTTTCCAGGGCCGAGAGTATAATCGGAGTGGAAAGATCAGATCTTTCCTGCAAATACTGGTGACGTCTCTGTTTCCTTTTCTGTAAGTATTTTAGCAAATGAGTTTACTGGCCAGACCCTCTACATGCAGAGGAACGTAAAGCAATATTGACTAAAAGCGTGTTTCCGGCGGGGAAGAGCGAGGGACGCGACGGGCAGCGCTTGCCCGGCCGGGGCGCGGGAAGGGCGCAGGAGCTCTGCGCTTCCAGGCTGCACGGCAACGCTGCGCTCAGCCTCGGGGCGCAGGCTCTGAATAGCAAATACGTCCGAGAAATGTAGACGGGGTCCCCAGGAGGCTTACAGCGAGAAGAGACGAGGCAGCTGCACTCTTTGGTACCAACTATTCACTCAGCTCAGCTTACAATAAGTTATACTAACTTCTAGGGAGAGGTCAAAATAGTAATATTGAAATCCAGATTTCAGCCATAGGCGAGCGTCTGCCAGAAAACTCAGTCACTTTGGGCCATGACGGCTGCCCTCAGCC